ACTATAATACTAGGATGCTCTATCTATATAATATATATAACCTATGTCTAGATACTAACACCTAAACTAATACCCTCAACCTCCTAGAGCAGGTTATTAATTAATAAGATAGATACCTACTCCTAGGAGACTTTAACCTCTACTACCTAGCCTAGGATAGTAACTATATCTATTAGACTAACCCTAGGTCTAATAGGCTACTAGAGCTTACTAATACCTAGCTCCTAGACCTCTGGATAGAATAAGGTATAGTAACCTAAGATAAGCAGGGCTACTAATTAACTATTAACTTAATATTTAGATCTATAGATCTAATAGCCTGCCTTATAGTCTGTAAGGTGGCTCTGAATATATATATAGACTCTAATTACCTACTAATATACCTACTTCTTAATATTATAACACCTCCACTATAAGCCCCTAAATACTATAACTAGAAGGCTATAGACACACAGAAGCTCTATAAGTTTATATCTACTAATATTAATCTATTAAGGTGGACTAGAAGCCTTAAAACCCCTAATTATATTAAAGATACCACTAACTACCTTATTAAAATTATTTAATAAGCTATTACTTACTCTACACCATAGGCCTGCCCCTCTAAGTAGGCTAACCCTAACTAGATACCTAAATATACTAAGATAGTTAAACTAACCTATCTTTACTAATAGATCTATACTAATACACACACTAATAATAACTAGATCATATACACAAAAATCTATAACTATAAGAGGAAGGTTATATCTAGATCCCTATAATATAGCTATTATAGATATATACAGCAGATAGTTACTTAAGGCCCCTAGGGCATGTAGTATATCACTAAATAGGCCTAGAACTACTAAGAAGGTAGCTAGATAGGAGTTATCCCTATACTTTACCTAGGAGACTATATAGTAGAGATAGTAGAGTAGAAAACTAACCTACTCTATAAGGCCTTCTTCCCACCTCCTCCCCCTGCTAATCTCTCTAATATAGAGAACTATATATATAACCCTATATATAATATTACTTTTCCAGATATTAATAAGTAAGAGATTATTAAAACTATTAAATAAGCACCTCCTAATAAGGCACCTAGGTAGGCCTGATGCCATCCCTAATAAGGTCTAGTATATTTTAATAGTAGTCCTAGTATTTATCTAAGTACTTAAGACCTTATTTAATATCTATATCTACATAGGACATAATCCCTAATACTTCTAGGTATCTATAATAGTTATCCTCTGTAAGACAGCCCCCTGAGATTTCTATCTTCTAAAGTCCTATCACCTAATTACCCTACTTAGTACCCTAGGCAAGGTCCTAGAGTTAATAATTATAGTCTATATCTCCTAGATACTAGAGGAGTATAGCCTGCTCCTAAAAGACTACCTAGGCAGCCAGAAGGGCATCTCTACTAACTATACTATCTAACTAATCCTTAACATAATCCACCATGCCTGGGGGTCTAGCTAGAAGGTTAGCATACTACTACTAGATATCTCTGGTGCCTTTAATAATATCTCCTACTAACACCTACTACATAACCTCTAAACTATGCAGCTAGGTTAGATCACTAACTAGCTATAATCCTTTCTATTAGATTATTATACCTATCTATAGCTACCTAGATTCCTTAGTAAGCTATTCATAACTCTTATAGGGATCCTATAGGGCAGCCCCTTATTACCTATCCTTTTCCTAATCTTTAATACCCCACTAATCTAAATACTAATCCACTAGCTTAGCAGCACGCAGATAATATTAATTAGCTAGATAGATAACTTCTATATACTTACTATTAGCTAGACCTATACTCAGAATATCACAGTCCTAGAGAAGTACCTAGAGAAGGTAGATTACTAGGCTAGCAGATATGCTACTAAATTCACCTCTAATAAGTTTAAACTAATCTATTTTACTAACCCTAAAGAACCAGAACCTCCCTGTGAGCTGACCCTAGTAGGGCCTAGTAATATCTAGGAGCTGTATAAATATAAGGGCCATGACTAAATACCCATCCACTATAGATAAATAACCATCTAACCTACTAAATTAGCTAGATACCTTAGCATCTAACTTAATAAAACCCTTTCTTTTAACACCTATTATACTAAGGTACTTAACCATATGAATAGCAGCCTAGAAGCCCTATAAAGTATCACTAGATCAACCTAGGGGGCTTTACTAGAAGCCATATATATAATCTATTATATAGTGGTTGTCCTATAGCTCCTATATAGGGTCACTATATAGTTTAGCCCTACTAGTAGGTTAATCCCCATAATAGAGCAGACTAAGATTACTAATAAATTCACTAAGATCCAGAAATATACAGCTATACTAATTAGTAGGGCCTTTTAGGGAACTACTATAGCTATACTTAATATCAAGCTATATCTACTACTAATATATCTATAGATACAGCAGATTATTAAAGAAACTACTATCTAAATCTAGATAGGGCCAAGCTTCACCTACCTATAAGGACTTATAAAGAAGCTATAACTAATTAGGGAGATATAGTAGAGTAGCCTTACTCTACTAGAGATACTTAGAAAGAGAGATAGCCTATTAGCCCCTACCCTAAAGCACCTAGAAGAATAGGAGTTATATAAAGTATATATACTCCCTCTATAGGAGCCACCCCTTTATTATATAATTAAAGACTATGAAGCTGCACTATAGATATATAATAAGATATATAAGGATGATAACTAATTAGTTATCTATATAGATAGTAGTAGCTACCAGGGATATATAGGTGCTTTAGCTATCTATCTTTATAAATAATAGATCTAGTAGAACCACCTAGGCACAGAGGCAGACTTAACTATATATACTACTAAGCTAGATAGAATCTATATAGTATTAGATAATACTAGAGAATTAAACTCCTGCTTACTCACCCTCTTTACTAATAGCTAGGCTGCCATCTAGGCAGTCTAGAACCTATATTACCCCTCTAGCTAATACATCCTAACAGTAATATATAAGGGGGTAAAGGCCCTAGGGGTATATAGGTTCTCTCTAGATATAAAGATATACTAGATCCCTATCTATATAGGTATAGTAGGGAATGAGGCTGTAGATAAGGTAGTAAAGAAGGTAGCTATATAAAGTAATAACTTTAGTAAGGTTTAAATAAGCTTAGTAAGATAACCTAATTAGCTAGAATAACTAATTATCTAGCTTACTATAGTAGCTAAATAAGCTATCCACTAGTGAATCTAGCAGCACTAGAAGAAATAGTAGGAGATAAAGAAAGGGGCTAAGCTAATATAGTAGTTAATTAAGGCCCCTTATAAGAATAATCTAGGCCTATATAAAGGCCTGCTAAAGCTGCACATATTAATTATTATCTAGATATAGACTATATAGATTAGTCTATAATACTTCCTTTTTAAGATTAAGGCCTCTAACTTAGACCTATATAGCTATAGAGAGGGGTCTCAGACCCCTAGATATATTCTCCTATAGTATCTATTATATATAGAGGCCTGCAGGAAGATAATTAATAAGCTATATAATATAGAGGGGCTCCAGGGGAAAATATTAGACTATAATATACTTATATCTAACCCACAGGTAATCTACTATATTACTAAATTCATGCACTAAACAGGCCTACTCAGCTAATTCCACTACATAGATATAGGTGAGCAGGACCATAAACAAGGAAGCCTCTTATAAGGCTCTAGGATAGATATAGAAGATAATAATTAGATGGACTAACTAGCTATCTAGGAGGGGCCCTCCTAGGCATGGAATCATGCCATGCTTAGAATAACTATATAGAATGGAGTAGGATAGGTGTTTAATATACACTAAGATAGTATAGGGGAGACATGCAGTCTAGTAGCAGGCTGCTTTAGTTATGTATTCTACTTTTAATGTGGCTATACACTAATTTCCTATATCTTTTCTATATTTATGGGTTTCTATGGCTTCAGGCATTCAGATACTAGATTCCTGCTTCATTCAGCAAAGCACCTGCATAGCTAATCGCTTCAATAGATAGGCTACATCAGGTTAATAGAATCTTGATTGATTGATTGATTGATTGACTGATTAAACATGCCTGCTCAAAGCCATGAGCAATTGGGTAAATGCCAGCACTAGTAAATTAGCCTGTTCACGAAGGAGATATTTGAACCCCTGAAAGGCCCCGAGAACCCAATCGGTTGAGTGAGAAGTAAACTAAGAGCCCTAAGTGCTAGCTAATTCGCTAGTCCATGTCTCACCAAGTGAAAGCAGACATGCATCATGATTCATGACCACACCGTAAGAACCCAATACTGACTAATAATATCCCTGACAATGAGTCATATTCTGATGTATAATTTAAGGATTATCGAATCTAGGGATGTGACTCGTGACTCATGACTTTACAGCCACAATTTCATACCTGAAAACTCTGATATGAACAGAAGCACTAATATCACGTCCATTGCCAACCAACAAAGCCTTGGTTGGGCTTGTGGGCAGTACTCGAGTATAGATTGGAATGATTTCCAGGATCCTTTACCAAACTAGCCAGAGAATACAGTGACATTTGCGTATGAGCTGTAGCAGCAAGAACAAATTTACTTCTTGGCAATGCTGTCAAACCCTGCGGGCTGAGTGGGTAAGAATCTTCCATCGCTATTCACGCATTATTCAAGCCCCTAGCCACGGCAAAAATGATGTGTTTTCGAATGGGCATCGTGGTTTCCTGGCCGATCCCAGAGGCTTTTCAACGTTCTTTATCCCATCTCCTTTGCCCAACTACCGAGGCAGGAGCGTACCTCTTGATCATTGACAAGTGAGAAACACCAAAGATCCGCAGGGTCGCCAATTCCGTAAATCCCGCAGCTTCGTACAGCGGACGCCCAGCAGGCGTAGCAACCAGATAACAGTCTCTCTTTTCAGCTGCAGCCCGCTGTACGCCCCATTGTAAGAGTATCCTGCCAATACCCCTCCGCCAATGACGCGGGTCCACAGCAATATAATCAAGATCTACGCTGCTTGTATTAGTCTGCTGGCATCGTAGCTAAACCGCGCGAGGTGCACATACGCCACACATTCCTTTTCATCTCGTCCCCGAAATGCGCGCGCGCATCGTCTGCCAGGATCCGACGCATTTCAGCTAAGGCGGACTGGTCTAGGCCCGGATGCGCATGCACAGCAGGTCCTGGTTCTGGTTCTGGTTCTTGGGGTTGGCGCGGCTCGCAGCCGCCACCGCTAGCTGGGACTGGGACGTCCCACAGCGCAAAGCCAACAATCTGCCCGTGCAGAGCATCGTCTGCGGCCACCATTAGAGCAGTGCCGTTGGAGTGGAAGCGCGAGGTCTTGCGAGCAGATCGCCATTGTCTGCATGCTTCGCCAGCTGGCATGTTCGTCGGTTGGAGGTCAGGTGGAAACAAGCGGCGGGATATTGCGTCTGTGGTGGGATTGACGGCTGCTGCTGCGATGTTTCCAACTGTCTCTAAGTCTGCCTCTCTTGCGGGGCGTATAGAAAGCACCATTTTGCTATTTGACAGTTCCTCGGACACTATTCCTCAGACTCTGGTCATAGCCTTGCTGGATATGGTTGCAGCTGGGAAGGTGACGTGTATTGCAGGGCAGCTGAGTCTAAGATAGTAAAAAGGCCACCCAGACTGAGGGCAGAAAGGTATCAGAGGACAGTGCTGTCTAGACAGAGGGCCTCGGAACATGAAGATACTGGATACAGTTACCCCGCCTCGTATTCCCCCGCTGTTTTCGCACTTTTCGAGACTAAGGTAGACCGACAGTGGCCGAGCAGAGGATGAGGGCAAAGCCAAAAAGATTTTGAAGGGATGCGGATGTAGATTTCATTAAAGGAAAATATGCGTATTCTATGAGAGGAGATGCAAAGTCAAGCCCAACGCCGCGCTGCCGGATATAGTACAAAACCCTGACCAAAGCCGTCAATCAGACCAGACGAATTCTGTTCTCCTCCAAGTACTGTTCAAATCGCTCTGGTCGTCCTGATGGTTCTGCAACAGCCACGTACGTGTCAGGTCTGATGAGGTAGGCTGCGTCTCTTGCAAATCCAACCGTTTGGTACTTCTCGTCCCAGGGGAAGACATGCAGAGGCACACGGTTATCGCGACACCAATCCTCCATTTCCTGCTTCGAATCCCCATAGACATGGACTTGCCATGTAATTTCCTTCAGACTGTCAAAGTTATCAACGTCCCCCACAGGAGCCCACGGGATCAATCAATCAATCAATCAATCAATCAAGATTCTATTAACCTGATATAGCCTATCTATTGAAGTAATTAGCTATGCAGGCACTTTACTAATGAAGTAGGAATCTAGTATCTAAACACCTGAAGCCCATAATTAACCCATAAATATAGAAGAGATATAAGAAATTAGTATATAGCTATATTAAAAGCAGAAAATAACTAAAGTAGCCTACTATTAGGCTATATACCTTTCCTACACTATCTTAGTATATTAAATACCTATCCTATCTTATTCCATGTAGTTATTCTAAGCATACTATAATTCTACACCTAGGAAGACCCTTCCCAGGCAGCTACTTAGTAATCTATCTAATCATTATCTTCTATATCTATTCCAGAGCCTTATAGGAGGCTTCTATATTCCTAGTCCTGCTCTAATAGCTCCCCTAGTTCTGTGTGATAGAACTAGCTAAGCAGACCTATTTAATATATAAATTTAGTAATATAGTAGATTACCTATAGATTAGATATAAGTATATTATAATTAGATAGTTTCCCCTAGATTCCCTTTATATTATATAGCTTATCTATTATCTTCCTATAGGCTTCTATATATAGTAAACACTATAGGAGAATATACTTAGGGGTCTAGGACCCCTCTCTATAGCTATACTAGTCTAAGTTATAGGCCTTAATTTTAAAGAGAAAATATCACAGACTAATCTATATAGTCTATATCTAGATAATAATTAATATATGTAGCTTTAGTAGGCCCTTATAAAGTTCTAGATTCTTCTTATAAGGGGCCTTAATTAGCTACTATATTAGCTTAGCCTCTTTCTCTATCTCTTACTATTTCTTCTAGTATTACTAGATTTATTAGTAGATAGCTTACTTAGCTACTATAGTAAGCTAGATAATTAGTTATTCTAGTTCTACTAAGCTTAATTAAACCTTACTACCTTATATAGCTACCTTCTTTACTACCTTATCTATAGCCTTATTCCCCACTACACCTATATAGGCAGGGATCTAGTATATCTTAATATTCTCTAGAGATAGCCTGTATGCCCCTAGGGCCTATATACTTCTATATATAGTATACAGAATATATTAGCTAGAGGGGTAATATAGATTCTAGACTACCTAGATAGTAGCCTAGCTATTAGTAAAAAGGGTGAGTAAATAAGAGCTTAGTTTTATAGCTATATCTATTACTATATAGATTCTATCTAGCTTAATAATATATATAGTTAAGTCTGCCTCTATGCCTAGGTGGTTCTGGTAGATCTATTAGTTATAGAGATAGATAGCTAAGGCACCTATATAGCCTTAGTAGCTACTACTATTAATATAGATAACTAAGTGCTAGTTATCTTCCTTATATATCTTATTATAGGTCTTTAGTGCAGCTTTATAATTTTTAATTATATAGTAGAGGGGGAGCTTCTAGGGGGGGAGTATATATATCTTCTATATCTCTTATTTCTTTATATATCTTAGGATAAGGGCTAGTGGGCTACCCTTCTTCCTAAGTACCTCTAGTAGAGTAAGGCTATTTTACTATATTTCTTTAGTTAGTTATAGCTTCCCTATAAGTCCTTAGGGGTAGGTAAACTATAGCCCTATCTAGATTTAAATAGTAGTTTCCTTAGTAATTTATTACATCTGTAGGTAGATTAGTAGTAGATATAGTTCTATATTTAGTATAGCTATAGTGGTTCCTTAGAAGATATTACTAATTAGGATGGTTATATACTTCTAGATCTTAGTAAATTTATTAATAATCTTAGTCTATTCCCCTGCTAGGATTAGCCTGCTAGTAGGGCTAAACCATACTACTACCCTATATAGGAGCTATAGAATAACTATACTATAATAGATTATATATATAGCTTCTAGGGAGGTACCCTAGGTTAATCTAGTAATACTTTAGAGTGCCTCTAGGCTACTATTTATATAGTTAATTACCTTAGTATAGTAGGTATTAAAGAAAAGGGTTTTATTAAGCTAGATACTAAGGTATCTAGCTAATTTAGTAGATTAGATAGTGATTTTCCTATAGTAGATAGGTATTTAGTTATAGCCTTTATATTTATATAGTTTCTAAATATTAGTAGGGCTTCTTAGAGCTAGCTTAGGAGAGGGTTCTAGTTCTAATTCTAGTTTTAGTTCTAATTCTAGTTCTTTTAGATTAGTGAAATAGATTAGTTTAAATTTATTAGGGGTAAATTTAGTAATATATCTACTAGCCTAGTAGTCTACCTTCTCTAGGCACTTCTCTAGGACTATAATATTCTAGGTATAGGTCTAGCTAATAGTAAGTATATAGGAGTTATCTATTTAGCTAATTAATATTATCTTTATACTGCTAAGCCTATAGACTAGTATTTAAATTAGTAGGGTATTAAAGATTAGGAAAAGGATAGGTAATAGGGGGCTATCTTATAGAATTTTAGTAAGAGTTATAAATAGCTTACTTAAGAATCTAGATAGCTATAGGTAGGTGTAGTAATTTAATAGGAAGGATTATAGCTAGTTAGTAATCTATCCTAACTATATAGTTTAGAGGTTATATAGTAGGTACTAGAGAGAGATATTATTAAATATACTAGAGATATCTAGAAGAAGTATACTAACTTTTTAGCTATGCCCCTAAGTATAGTAGATTATATTAATAATTAGTTAGATAGTATAGTTAATAGAGACACCCTTCTAGCTACCTAAGTAGCTATTTAGAAGTAAGCTATATTCCTCTAGTATCTAGGAGATATAAAGTATAATTATTAATTCTAGGACCTTACCTAGAGTGTTAAGTAGGGTAATAGGATGATAAGACTTTAGAAGTTAAAAGTCTTAGGGGGCCGCCTTACAGAGGATGACTATAGTAGATATCTAGAAGTATTAGAGATTATAGCTAATATAGATATAGGCATTAAAAAGGGTTTTTAATACTTAGATAAAGATTAGGATAGTGGTTAGGGTATGCTAGACCTTATTAGGGATAGTATTAGGCCTAGGTGCTTTATTAGGAGGTGCTTATTTAATAATATTAGTAATCTTATACTTATTAATTTCTAGGAAGAGAATATCCTATAATTAGTTATATTTTCTTTCTTTAATATCTAAGAGGTTAGTAGCTAAGAATAATAGGAAGAAGGCCTTATAGAGTAGGTTAGCCTTCTACTCTACTATCTCTATAATATAGCTTCTATAGTAGAGGGTAGGAATAAGGCCTGCTTAGTCTCTAGTATAATTATAAGCCTATTGTTACAACACTGACATAGCCGCGCTGACGCAAGGCGGAGGCAATGGGCAGAATTGGGAAGTGATAATAACTAATCATTTCCTATGGATGAGATGTGAGGGAGCTATAGTTTCTAATAAGAAGACTATATATAAACTATGCCCTTTCTATTATTACTAAGGATTACTCTATATTACTAATAAATAGTTATATAATACTATAGGAGGTCCTAGGTGCTAAGGATTATTAATAGTCCCCTAGGGACTGAGGATAGATATAACTATTAGGGACTATAGATAGATAGTCTATAATAGGACTATGAGGAAGCCTTATAAAAGGGACTAATAGAAGAAACTATATAAGGATACTTATTATACCTAGTACTCTTAGTTTAGTTCCTTATATTTAATATAAATTATTTACTTAAGTATAAGTTTACTAGTCTAATTTATTAATTACTCTCTTATTATTAAGTATATATACTTAATAGGCCTTACTTCTATCTCTACTATTATTATTCTTATATTATCTTTAGATTATCCTTAATCTTTAATAGGTTATTATACCATTACATTATTAGGCTACCAGGGTAGTAGGCCTTAGGTAAGTATTAGATATAGTCTAGGGACTATATCACCTCATTCCTAAAGTAGTTAACTAGTAGAGAATAGCAGAGATAGATCCTAGGGTATAATAAATTAAATACTATATAGTATAAATTACTTTAGGAAGTTTAATTAACTCTTAATATTAAATATTATAGTAGGAGATGCATTAACCCCTACTAGCTTAAATATTAGAAGGGTGGCACTGCAGTAGTAAATAACTATATAATCTTAGATTATAGTTAAAGATCTAATAGGAATGGTAGAATAGCTCTAGGAGTATATCTAATAATTAGAAGGTTAACTTATAGTTAAACCTATTAAGGTCTAACCTCTGGAATTATTTAATAGGATATGATCTAAACTATATATATTCTTAATATAGATAGATATATATATATAAATAAATTATAAGGTACTTATTAATAAATTAGATAAGGTCTTATTTATAGCTATATATCTTACTAGACCTATATTTAATTAGTTTAAACCCTTTATAAGAGACTACCAGACACATACTAAAGACTTATAGGATAATAAGACTATTATAATATTTACTAGTTATAATAAGTTTAAGAAACACCTTAAAGGAATATTTAGTAATATTAATAAAGAATAAAATATAGAATAATAGTTATAGTAACTTAAATAGATAGGGTCTATAAATAATTATACCTTAAGGTTTTAATAGATTATAGCCTATTTAGACTAGGACATAGATGTATATATAGCATGTTTTAAAGAAGAGTTAAAGATAGATATCTAGGAGAAATTAATCTAGATAGATTAACTAAAAATATTAAGTAAAATAATTAAGTAAGTAGTTAAGATTAATAATAAACTCTATAACTTTACTATGTGCAGGAAGGAGTGAAACTAGGGAAGTTTTAGTAATAGATATACTATAAACTATTAATTAAATAATAGAAGGCTAGCTTAACTAAGGAGCTAAGGATATTTAGATCCTTATAGGCTATAATTAATAGAATTAGATATAATATAAATAGCACTTTTTAAAGAGGAAAGAGAATAGTAATAATATAATAAGTTATATTTCTATTATAGAAAACTAGGATATATATTAAAAGACTATAAGTAGGAACCTAAGAAGGGTTAATAGTATAGAAATAAG